AGATAAGATTTTGATAAAAATCTTCAAAATATTGATAAATTAATTGATAAAAATTTTTACGCGCGTAGCGTGTGTCTTGCCAACAATTATTTTTGTTTTAACCCGTTGAAACAATTCAACTTGTTGAAGCTACTTTAGATTCTTTTTTTTTTTAACTCCCTCATTATATTTGATACACCAGTTGAATTATTTATTCTAACACCTTCACTACTGTATGTAGTCTAACGTGAAAAAAATTCTAACAGTGAAATTTTCTTTTTTAAAACGGTGGAAAAAACTGAAAAGGAAAGGAACAAAAAGCAGAAACGCTTTTTACATGTTGAAACCGCGTGAACTTTCATCATTAGACCATTTTGACTTTTTAAGTGTGTGTTTTCTTTTTTTCTTTCGCTGACTTTTGAAGTATTATGCTTTTAAATTCACACTTGTAAGTAATAATATCATAGATCTTACATCAAAGATTTCAAATAGGAAAACCCGCCAGATAATATACAAATTTTAGTTTAAACAAAAAAAAAGACAAGAAATTTTGAAAGAACCAAATTAGTTTCACCAAATTTTTGGTGGTTTAATCATTTAAAAATAAATACTCAATATCATTAGTTCAGCTCTACTTGAAAGATATTATTTACGTATTAAACACGATATTATCAAAATTTGGAAAAGATTATGGCCAAAGCTTTTACTATTTCTACTACATTTTAGAAATAACACATATTTACTCTAGGTGGTACTTCCACCAACCTTTCCAAGTTACACATCTCAAGTTCAATTGGTCTTTTATTATTGGTTGGTCTTAATTGTGTTTAATTCTTTCCTCAACTTTTTGTGTTTTTCATTATAAATCAATATAGAATTAGTTAAAAGGACCATTTACTGATATGTAATGTAGCCATCCTGGTCCAAACACAAGTGATAAACATAAACTCATAAAAAGTGACTTTTTCTTCATAAACGAAGATATATGGTCCTCCAAAAGTATAATAGATATTGCAAGAAAACATAAATAACAAGAATAAAGTTAAGAATCAAGGACTTCATAAAACACACCATATCCAGACAGTTGGTATAATGATAATGTTTCTTTCTTTCTGCATTTAAAATAATGATTTTACTACCCATATATGGTACCATCTAGGACCCTATTTCTCCCAATCACTCAAATACTACAATAATAAGAAGAACAAGTCGACCGACAAAAATTTAGTAACTCATGAAAATGAAATTGATCGTTTGTTGGGGTCAAAACTTCCTCTAACAGTTTTCTCCCATAAAATAGCTAAATACGAAAATGGACAGAAATGAGACAATGCCGAGTTCATTCTGGAGACCTAGACAACTTGCCAGAAATGACTCATTTCGCCTAACAGTGCAGCCTTCTGCCGAAAACTACTGCCTTCTACCGAAAACTGATGCCTTCTGCCGACCACCGTCTCTGACCGATCAATGTTACTGTCGACTATTAGACGACCGACGTCGCCACCAGGAATGCTCGACAGCTCACCGATGTTGCCATCAGGAGCCAGGCAATGGGTCGAGTATAGCCATCACATAGCTGTGGGCCGAGGTCCACATGCCCAATACGGCAAGGTGACGAGGTCAAGCCCAAGATAAGGGAGCCCGCGACAAGCGCCGACTACGATAAGAGGAAATCTCGAGGAATACGGGAACTTTTTTTATCTCTTATTTGTTAGATCTAGCCGACCAGAATTTGTATATATACTCTTGTAACTCCTCTGGAAAGGGGATCCGCAGCTTTACGCAGAAACACATGACACAAAATCAATAAAGTTTTCTTAACGCTATTTTCGTGTTTTTTGTCTTTATTCTTGGTTGTTCTTGTGATTCTTTCCCAGAGATCTCGTTTCTCTTAAAAACCCTTGACAAATTCAATTGAGTTGGTTTCGACATCCACATCGTTTGTGTGACATGAAACAATGATCATTATCATACCAACAATATATGTAAATCATATGTGTGCATCTCTATGTTATGTTTTATATATTAGTCATTTTGTCAAAACGCCAATGTTCTTGAGAATGCGACAACGAATCCTAAGAAGCAATAATATTTTAGTTTTTTGCTATAACATTTAACCGCAAAGAAAGAAAGAAAAAGAAGACAACATTACTTTATTAAAAAATTTGCATTCAAGTAGTGGGTCCAAATAATTAGATTCGATTGGTAGGCTCTTTCACTCTTGTATGACCTCATAGTTCTTGTTTGATACATTAAAGAACTATTAGAGTAATTTGTAACTTTTTCAATGATCTACTCTCAAAATACCTGAGCATTTCTAAACACATACCAACACAAATCTTACATGGTTTGTTGTGTGTATATATTCAATTACCATTATCTATTTGATGTTGACACCCATATAAAATATTGGTTAGGACTTTGCTTCGAGTTCAAAAGTTATAACAAAACAAGAGAAAAAACAAATATTATTTTTATCATTTGTTAGGAATTCCACATAAAAAGATGTGTTGAAATCTAGAATATGTAATGTGTAC